GCTGGCCCCAGAGTGGGGTAGGAATGGAGACTTTGCAATATCCTTCCCTTGGAATGGGGTGGGAATGGGGATTTTGCAGTAGCCTTCCCCTGCCACGCCCACCAAGCCACACCACGCCCACCAAGACACGCCCACAGAACCGGTAGTAAAAAAAAAATCGAATTTCACCACTGCCATCATGGCTACGTTTGCCCCACATGCTATCCTATAAAAAACCAAAAACGGCCCTCCAGAACTCAAGTTTCCAGAACTCAAAACACAACATTAAAAATAAATAAATAAATAAATAAAATTCGGGGTGAGAGCCTAAAACTGTCGGTTCATTTCCTCCTTCACCCCTTAATTAGATCCAATCTACGCCAACGGCTTCAAATGCCAGTTTCTGAAACTTTTAAAACAAAGACACGGAACTAGTTAAGAGTTTTTATGGAGACTTTTTTTAAAACATTTTTAAAAAAAAAAAAAAAGGGAAAAGAGAGAACGAAATATGCCCTTAATGCTCCTTTCCATCCATTATTCAGCATCTCCAAGCCGATAATGAGATCTAAAATCGACCTTTAGGGTTTTTTTTTTTTTCCTCCTGAGTTTTACCTTTGATCTAAAAAACATCATTAGCTCCCTGCCTTGTTATGCAAGGCGGAATTTTGCCCTCAGCTCTGCTTCCTTGTGGCTGTAGAGCCCGGGATGACTGGTAACATTTGGAGAAAAGAGGGGGGGAAAAATCCAAATTTGAGGGGTGGAAAATCCAGATTCATTTCCACCTTCTCTTTCTCCATTCTCATGCATTGAGAAACTTCCTGGAATTGAAGAAGGAATACATAAACAGTTTTGGACACCTTGATACAGAAAGAAAGAAAGAAAGAAAGAAAGAAAGAAAGAAAGAAAGAAAGAAAGAATGTTGAGATTCTAGAAAGAGTGCAGAGAAGAGCAACAAAGATGATTTTGGGGCTGTAAGAGGCTAAAACATATGAAGAACAGTTGCAGGAACTGGATATGTCTAGGTTGATGAAGAGAAGGACCAGGGGAGACATGATAGCAGTGTCCCAATATCTCAGGGGCTGCCCCCAAAGAAGAGGCAGTCAAGTTATTCTTCAAAGCACCTGAGGGCAGGACAAGAAGCAATGGGTGGAAACTCATCAAGGAGAGAAGCAACTTAGAACTAAGGAGAAATTCCCTGACAGGGAGACCAATTAATCTGTGGAATCGCTTCCCTCAAGAAGTTGTGTTGTATGTATTTTAATCTTGGCTGTTCACCGCCCTGAGTCCTTCGGGAGAAGGGCGGTATACAAATTTAATAAATAATAATAATAATAAATTCCAGGGGAAGGATACTGCAAAATCCCCATTCCCTCCCCACTCCTGGGGGAAGGATATTGCAAAATCTCCATTCCCACCCCACTCTGGGGCCGGCCAATTTGCTGGTTCTCTGAACTACTCAAAATTTCCGCTACCGGTTCTGCAGAACCTGTTAGAACCTGCTGGATTTCACTCCTCCTTCGAACTCTCTGTTATTCTATGTTCCAGGTTCTAGCTCCCTGCTCTTACTTGGACACCTTCACCGTAGCATCACAGTGGAGATGTCTAGACCAGCCAATTAATGCTCCTCTTTTACTATCCCTCCGGCTTGTAACTTTTATAGATCTATTTGCAAGACAGTTGTGAAGTCAAGAGCTCTGCGGTGATTTATAAAGTAGTTGACAAAACAGCGGGATTATTTTTAATTAAAAAGGTTCCGTCTGAGCTGATGAGCTCCTCCACTTCAAAGAAGCGGTAAAGCCAAAGAAACAACATTTTCACACTCAGGTATACCCACACACACACCCTTCACTTCTGGGCATTTGTAAAGCATTCCTTTACACCTCACACTAGCTGTGAGTCACAGCTGCCATGCGGAAGCTCATTCAACGAACCTGGTATGCCGTGACTTTGCAATTCATAAAAACCACGGTTGTCAGCTTTACATGGCGTGCAAACTTGTCCACCGTCCAGTATAGATAGTCCTTGACTTACAACCTTGTGCAAAGTTACAACAGCCCTGAAAAAAGGGACTTATGACCGTTTTTTTTGCACTTACGACTGTTGGGGCATCCCCGTGATCATGAGATCAAAATTCATTGGTCAACCGACTCATACTTTATGACGGTCACAGTGTCCCGGGGTCACGTGATCCCCATTTGCGACCTTCTGACAAGGTCGTAAAATGGAGCAAAGCTCACTTCACAACTGCTTCACTCAGCAACGGTTAATTGTGACCATATGTTGAGGACTATCTATAATGAATTCACTGATAAACAATGACTGATGCTTGTTATTTTTTTCCTCTTTAGGTGCATTTTTTAGTTTGCACTTCTCATTCCTTGTCAAAATGTTAGTTTTTCTTTAAGATGGAAGATGGTTTTCATCCAAAATAATAAAGATGATTAAAAATAGAGGAAGCCATGATTTAAAAAAAAAACAACTCATCCACTATCTTTCATTTAAATCAATCACAAAGGGGCAAGTTATGGCACATTACAAGCGGCAATTCCAGTAAATAAATAATGCAAAGAAAACCAAATTTGGACAACTTCCCAAAATTATATTCTGGACAATACGACCAACATGGAAGCATTATTTTCAGTAGCTTTTGAGAGTTTCTCATTATTATTAATTCTTTATGAAAGCACTATTATTATCATCATTACTGGCACAGCACAAGGATATATTTTTTTCTCCCCTCCATGGGAATTTCTCACAAAATTGCAAGAGGATTGGCATTTTACTGGATTCAACTTACTGGACCAGTGGAGTATACTGTAAAACCCTTCAAGCCATATTCACACAAAACACAATACAGTAAATCTTAAACCCAAGGAAGGAATCACCATTAGAATAGAATAGAAATAAGAATAGAGTAGAGTAGAGTAGAGTAGAGTAGAGTAGAGTTGAGTTGAGTTGAGTTGAGTTAGAAATAATAGGAATAGAATCATTCATCTAATGCCCGTTCGAAGATATGACACTGAAAAAGATGACTTATGGCCATTTCCCACACTTACGACCACTGCAGCATCTCTATGACCACGTGATCAGAATTTGGAGGCTTGGCAACTGGCATGTACTTATGTCGGTTGCAGGGCTCACCCGATCCCCTTTTGCAACCTCCTGGCCAGAAAACTCAACAGGGAAGCCAGCTTCACTTCACCACCGCGTTCCTAACTTAACAACTGCATTGACTCGCTTAACAACCCGCGGCAAGAAAGGTGGCAAAATGGGAGCAAACCTCACTTACCAACGATCTTGCTTAGTAACAGAGCATAGGTCGCTCCAGTGAACACATCTTAACCGTAGTCCACACGGCTGGAGAATTGTAAGAGTCCCACAAGATGCTGAATGGCATTTTAATCTACTTGGCCACCTGAATTGGTAAATTTATGCCATAAAGAGTCTAGGAATTCAAAATAAAATGACCATCGACGCTTTCCACTTAAGGGCAACATTGGAAGACAGATATCTTCCCGGTGACAGCTCTTACAAAGTCCTTGCCAGCAGGCTCTTCTCGGTGGGGATGATGGGAATTGACGTCCCACACCATCTGGGCAGCTTTGAGGTTCTCCAACATCACACAGACTCCATCCCCAACTTCTCTCTTCAATGGACATTCCAAATGTCCCTCAATTTCCTGAGTTTGCACACGACAATAACTCCCAGACTGTGTCTACACACACACACACACACTTAATTTTCCAGCCCCATCTTCATGTTTAGACACTAATTAATGAGGAAGCAGGGAGACTCTGATTATTCCTGTTGTGGCCATATTTAAATTCAGGAATCCAGCATAGCTATTGATCCTTAAAAAGCAGCAAAGAGACGGCTTTAAGCCAACGCAACTCATTTTGTCTACCCAGCCAATTCTGCCAGCAAAATTGACCGGCAAAAAATAATAATGAGACCTTTTCCCCACCCTTACTCTACCTTCTTGTAAAGCCATCTCTGACCATCATCTTCGGGATCAGGGATATTACGGAATGAGATAACGCAACACAATAACAGACTTGGGAGGGACCTTCGGAGGTCTTTTAGTCCAACCCCCTGCTCAGTCAGGAAACCCTACACCACTTCAGACCAATGGTAATCCAACCTCTTCTTAAAAGCATCCAATGTTGGAGCATTCACAACTTCTGGAGGCCAGTTGTTCCACTGATTCATTGTTCTCACTATCAGGAAATTTCTCCTTAGTTGTAGGTTGCTTCTCTCCTTGGTTAGTTTCCATCCGTTGCTTCTTGTTCTACCCATCAGCAACGGATTAGGGGACTGGAGACTAAAACATATGAAGAACGGTTGCAGGAACTGGGTATGTCTAGTTTAATGAACAGAAGGACTTGGGGGGTGACATGATAACAGTCTTCCAATATCTCAGGGGTTGCCCCAAAGAAGAGGAAGTCAAGCTATTCTCCAAAGCCCCTGAAGGCAGGACAAGAAACTAATCAAGGAGAGAAGCAACTTAGAACTAAGGAGAAATTTCGTGACAGTTAGAACAATTCATCAGTGGAACTCCTTGCCTCCAGAAGTTGTGAATGCTCCAACACTGGAAGTTTTTAAGAAGAGGTTGGATAACCATTTGTCTGAAGTGGTGTAGGGTTCCCTGCCTAAACAGGGGGTTGGACTAGAAGACCTCCAAGGTCCCTCCCAACTCTGTTATCCTATTCCTATTCCTATTCCTATTCCTATTCTATTCTATTCTATTCTATTCTATTCTATTCTATTCTATTCTATTCTATTCTATTCTATTCTATTCTATTCTACTCTACTCTACTCTACTCTACTCTACTCTACTCTACTCTACTCTACTCTACTCTATATCACTCCCTTCCCACTCACGACTGGCCATGGGTGGACACGTCAACCACCTTTTCAAGGTGCTGTGTGTTGGACAGCAACCAAGACTTTGGGAGAATTGCAAAGCGCGTACTTCCATGCCGGAGCGAAAAAAGGGGCGTACATGAAGAAAATCTACTTAC